GTAAAAATAAGTTTATGCAGTCTCAACATACTGCCATTAAGCCCAGGTCAACATCAAAAACCTTCCAACAATTTGTCAGAAGTTAGCACTAAACTGGCAATCTCATTCACACAGCATGGTGGCTCAGTGGTTAGCACTGCTGCCTCACAGTGCCAGGGACCTGGGTTCAATTCTACCCTTGGGTGACTGTCTATGAGGAGTTTGCACATTCTCCCTCTGTCTGCATGGGTTTCCTCCCACAGTCCAAAGATGTGCAGGCTAGGTGGATGGGCCATACTAAATTACCCCGTAGTGTTCAGGGATGTGTAGATTAGATGGGTTATGGGGGGATGGGTCTGGGTGGCATGTTTTGAGGGTCAGTGTGGACATGTTGGGCTGAAGGGCCTGTTTCCACACCGTAGGGATTGCATGTGATGGAAATGTACTGACACAAAATAGTGCAGCATAGGGTACCTTACCAAGATTTGGGGTGTATTGGTAAAACAGGATATACAGAACTTTACACAGAATCTAACCATGTGACAAACCTGTAGTGATAGAAGTGGAAAAATGTTCCCCTATCCTCACCAGTGATGATGACAACTACTTTGAAAATCCAATTGTTGGGCCATAAATGGTCATTTCCTCCAACATGCTTTTATTTTAGGGCGTCCAGTAATGTGGTAGCCTTCAGTCTTGCAAGACAATGGTTTGCATTGTGGTGTTCACCTGCACATTAAGCAACTCCTGAGGAGGCACTCCACTCTAGCAGACTCTGCTGCATTTGCTGCACAGGGCAACAGTGTCTAATAAGGTGCACAATGCTCTGGCCTCTATTTTCTGAAGGATCCTGTTTTGGCCTGCTGAGCCTTTTGTTTGTGTCACTCCTTCCAAAGCCGTTCAAGGGGTCACAGTCATCAGCAACTGCCTCACAGTTGGCAGTGTCAATGCCTCTCAACTTTATATTTTACTGGCATGCATCTTTGTAGCAGAGGTATGCAAGTCCAAGTACTCATGAGCAACTCAAGTTTTTCAAAACAAAAAGCCCCCAGAATAGAAGACTCCTTCTATTATCTCAATTACAGTTCCTCACATCCCGCTTCTTCCAAAGACTCAATTTTCCCAGTATTCCTGTCTCTCATATCTCTTCCGACAATGCCACCTTCCATCAGAGCATTTCTGAAGTGTTCTCCTTTATAACTTCAAATTAGATTGTCCTCCAGCATGGGTGACCTCACTAGTGCAGATATAATGGGCCAACGGGCTCTTTTGTGCGCTGTAGATCTCCAAGACAGGGCCATCAACCATGTCAATCCATCTCCCACTCTCCTGCCCTCAGCCCTCTACATAATTAACTTAAATCTGTCGTTGGGAAAACATTGGCACTTATTATGAAGGATGTAATGGCAGGGCATTTAGAAACACTTAATACAATCAAAAACAAACAAACAGTCAGCAAGGTGAAATCACAAGTGAAAACTTTACTACCATTGTTTAGGGAGGCAATAAGTAGGTTAGATGAAGTGGAACCAGTGGATGCAACAAATTTGAATTTCCAGATTGCATTTAATAAAGTCCCATACAAAAGGCTATTCAAGACAAGAGCCCCAGGTGTTGAGGCTAATACGTTAGCATGGATAGAGGACTGCTAACTAATAGGAGAGACACAGTTGGGATATAGGTGGCATTTTTAGGATAACAATCTGTAACTAGTAAAGAGACACGGGGATCAATGCTGGGGCCACAATTATTTAAAATATATTTTGATAATTTGGATGATTGAAGTGAATGCACTATAGCCAAGTTTGCAGATCATACAAAACAGGTGGGTAGGCAAGCATTGAGGACAACACAAAGACTCTATAGAGGGATCTAAACAGGTTAAGTAAATGGACAAAAACTGGGCAGATAGTATAGAATAGGGGAAAATATGAGGTTACGTACTTTAGCAGGAAGAACAAGAAAAGAGTTGAATATTATTTAAATGGAGAACAGCTGCGGAAAGCTCCGGTGCAGGCTGGTTTCGGAGTCCTAGCACATGAAACTCAAAAAGCTAGCATTCAGGTTCAGCGGGTAATAAGGAAGGCAAACGGAATGTTAGCCTTCACTTCAAATGGAAATTTCATCATCAGCATAAATACTATTTCCCAGTTGCTTTCAGTTCTGACAAAAAGTCACAGGATTTGAAAGGTTTGAAAGGTTAACTGTTTTTCTCTCTACAGATCCTGAAAAACCTGCTCAGTTTGTCCAGCATTTTATGTTTCAGATTTACGGCATTTGCAGTTTTGTTTTATTTCCTTTTATTCGCATGCCTTTACCCACTTACTTTCTGTCTTGAAAAGATTTTTTGTGTGCTGAAAAAGATGTTCTGTAAAATTGTGCTGTAAAAAAAAAATGAGGGGGTCAGAAAAGCCTGATTGCTTCTAATCAATTTATCTTCAATAGGTCCACTGACTAACCTGTCATATTCAAATATCAAGTGTAACATCCTGGTCTCATGTTAAATGTGAATTGATATTTTGTTGTTCAAGTGTCCTTCCTTCACTAGTTTTGGATTATATTGCCACTAAACATACTTGCTATCTATGCACACAAATAATCTTGAAAATGTCTCTAATCACCATAATTGATGAGTGGGTGACATCCACTGAAATTACACTATCCCCATCACAAATATTAACATATATCGTTCTAAAGACTTATTGGCCAAGTGCAACAATTTAGTCACCACCCACATCTTCACTCTACTATTCGACCTGCTCTTTTTCCATCAATGCCACTTCTATTTGTACATCGCTTGCTAATAATATGGACTCCCAACTAGTACTGTCATGTTCATCACCATGTGGTAGCCATGACTAACATCAACTGATGCCTTGTTCAACTATCCTGGAACTACAGAGTCCAAAATACCGTGCCCCACATTTTACTGGTGTCAGGAGGATGACAAATGAATAACAGCAGTTTGTCATAAATCAGATTCATATTAAGAATTATTGCCTGCCGTTTGCAAAGCCGAATTACATTCCATCTTATCTCTACTCTACGGTCTTTGTTTTGTCCGTGCAATGAGAAGCCTTTGGTGCCAATCTTTATAAAACATAGACAGTTTTCACAGATGCGGATAATTGGTTAATTACAACAATTAAAACACGAGCTCTTCAATGCAATGCATTTCTTTAATCAAGCTTCTGTGCATCTACATCACTGAGCTGCACAAATACCTTCTTTTGGGCAATAGCCAGGATGATTTCCACATGGTTGCTTTTTATTCATCTCACATTAAGTTAATTCAAACCCTAATTTTAGACAGATTTTACATTTGCATAATTTAACTCAATTCTTGGAACAGCATTTAGAAGTGTCAATTTTATTGACTGAATAAATGCTTTGTGTCACTGTGAAAGTTTTATCTTTCAAAGAGAAACTCGCTACGTGCAATATTTCACCGTCACTCTTATTTTGTGCTAAAATCCCACATCTCTGTAGGCGATTGTTCAAAGGAAAGCAAGGGGAGCTATTCTGATGGAGCAGCATGCATTATGGGGCTCATCTCACAGGGGATAAACCTCTGTTGACATTGAATTTCTCTACTCAGACTGGAGCCTTTTGTTTCATTAGATTTCTCTAAAAAGTTAGATATTGAAACCTGGTTTAGCCCAAGTTCATGTTTTGGGAATTGCATGTTATGGCAGTCAACATTTAACATAGAACATAGAACAGTACAGCACAGTACAGGCCCTTCGACCCATGATGTTGTGCTGACCTATTATCCTACTAAGATCAATCTACCCTGCATACCCTACATTTTACTATCCTCCATGTGCCTATCCAAGAGTCGCTTAGAAGTCTCTAACGTATCTGACTCCACTACCACTGCCGGCAGCGCAACGCCCACCACTCTCTGCGTGAAGAGCCTACCTCTGACATCTCCCCTATACCTTCCTCCAATCACCTTAAAATTATGCCCCCTCGTAATAGCCATTTCCACCCAGGGAAAAAGTCTCTGACTATCCACTCTATCTATGCCTGTCATCATCTTGTACACCTCTATCAAGTCACCTCTCATCCTCCTTCACGCCAATGAAAAAAGCCCTCGCTCCCTCAACCTTTCCTCATAAGACCCCACCCTCCAGTCCAGGCAGCATCCTGGTAAATCTCCTCTGCACCCTCTCTAAAGCTTCCACATCTTTCCTATAATGAGGTGACCAGAACTGAACACAATATTCCAAATGTGGTTGAACCAGGGTTTTATAGAGCTGCAGCATAACCTCGTGGCTCTTAAACTCAATTCCCCTGCCAATGAAAGCCAACACACCATACGCCTTCTTTACAACCCTATCAACTTCTGTAGGGACTTTGAGGGATCTATGGACGTGGACCCCAAGATACCTCTGTTCTTCCTCACTGCCAAGAACACTGCCATTAACCCTGTATATTCTGCATTCAAATTCAACCTTCCAAAATGAATCACTGCACACTTTTCTGGGTTGAATTCCATCTGCCATTTCTTTGCCCAGCTCTGCATCCTGTCAATGTCCCTTTGCAACCTACAACAGCCATCCATGCTGTCCACAACTCCACCAACCTTCGTTATTTGTTACGGATTTTGTACGCATTGCACAGGTGCTAACTGGCAACACACTTCATTGTCTGAGTAAGATGTAAGTTGTAACATATAATGATATATTGTGGATATCGCCAAGTAAACAGAATTCAGATCAGCACCAGAGATAGTAGGAACTGCCGATGCTGGAGAATCTGAGATAACAAGGTGTAGAGCTGGATGAACACAGCAGGCCAAGCAGCATCAGAGGAGCAGGAAAGCTGATGTTTCGGGTCTGCACCCTTCTTCAGAAATGAAGAAGGGTTTCTGAAGGGTCCAGACCCGATACGTCAGCTTTCCTGCTCCTTTGAGGCTGTTTGGCCTGCTGTGTTCATCCAGCTCTACACCTTGTTATCTCAGATCAGCACCATTTATTTTATTAGTAACAGGAGTCACAAGAGAAGATTTTGCTTACCTGGTAATAGGGATAGAAGAGAGTACAGATTGCACAGTAGGGCTCAGTTAGTGCAGCAGATGCATTAAATTTCCTTTCGGCCAAGAAATTATATGATCGACTTTGCCAAAGGTGGGTGAGTGGTGACTTCCAGGCCTCTGGTTCACTCTGATCTTCTTCACCGGAGAAAAAAGGTATTTCTATGAGACAAAAGGCATATCAAAATTAGCACCAACATACAAACCACATCAGTTTTGTACGTCATTGGCAGCATTTGGTTCCAATATGATAACGACATAATGACAATTCATCAACATACGAAAGCAGCATTCTCATATGCTGTAAGACAACACAGTGATAAAGTATAACTGTGCTTTATAAATAACTCAAAACCAAAGCAAATGTGGACACTCTGGGGCTTATCATACACATCCATCAAGAAATATTGCAAAACAATATTTTGAAAATGTTCTAGTTTTCTTCTACTACACTTGCTAGATCATTTAAAACTTTATTCATGTGCACTGCCAACATAACTGACACAGTGTAGGTAGCTATAATCATATCAACCCTATTTCACCTTTTGTTGGACTCAAATACTTTTCATCCTTCTAATAAATGAAGAAGTGGGCCAGGTCAGATGCAGATTTAAATGCAATGATAATTCATTATCAAAATGTTAGTAAACCTTTTAGGTTCTGCTAGGCAGAAAAATCAGAAGATAATACCATATTATAATTAACTTAGCACTTTTTTATGCATGTTTTTTGGAGATGTTTAACTGATCATCTCTTTGTCATAACACACTTTAACAAATACACAAGTGCCTAGATCTCTTGTTTCTCTTTTTTCCTCCAAGGAAACATCTTGCAATCCCTTTATATTCTTCTGCCTCTAACACACACATTCGTCTCCTTGATCATCAATCATCATTTTGATGCACAATAGGTTTTCTTGCTCAGTGTGATGTTTATGTTCACTAGCATTGTCATTGCAGAACTGCCCACATCAACATCTGGAGAGTTGCAATTGCCAGAAATGGAACTGAACCAGCCTTGAAATTACTGTGCAGGTTAGAGGCTAGGAATTCTGCAGCAAATAACTCTCTAACTTGAACCAAGTCACCCCTCACTCTTCTAAACTCCAGTGGAAACAAGCTCAGCCTGTCCAACCTATCCTCATAAGACAAACCGCTTATCCCAAGTCTCAACTTAGTAAACAAGCTCTGAGCTGCTTCCAATGCATTTACATCCTTTCTTAAACGAGGCATACAAATTCATGGACACTTGCTGTCTTCCTTCTGTGCATTCCGCCCATTGTGTTCGCACCAGTCATGGAGTTGTACAGCATGGAAACAGACCCTTTGGTCTAACAAGTCCATGCTGACCATAATCCCAAACTAAATTAGTCCCGCATGCCTGTTCCTCACCCATATCACTCCAAACATTTCCTAACCATGTACTTATCCAAATGTCTTTTAAACACTAACTGTACCCACATCCACCGCTTCCTCAGGAAGTTCATTCCACACGTGAACCACCTTTGGTGTAAAAACATTTGCCCCTCATGTCTTTTTTAAATCTTTATCCTCTCACATTAAAAATATGCCCCCAGTCTTGAAAACCCCATCCTAGGGAAAAGACAACTACCATTAACTCCATCTATACCCCTCCACTATTTTATAAACTTCTAAGGTCACCTCTCAACCTCTTACACTCCAGTGGAAAAAAAGGTCCCAGCCTTTGCTTATAACTCAAACCTTCCACACCCAGCAACATCCTGGTAAATCTCTTCTGAACCTTCTCCAGCTTAATAATATCTTCCTATAACTGGGCAACCAGACCTGGACACAATATTCCAGAAGACACATACAACAACACTAATGCCATTTTCCAGCTGTTGGTTTTAAGCCCTGGAGGATATGGTAATGCAAGTGAATATCTAAACACTGATCAAATGTTGCAAGAGTTTCTAACTCAACCACCCTTTCAGGCAGTGAAATCCAGACTCCCACCACAGTCTGGGTGAAAGGCTTTCCCTTCTGAACTTTCTACCACTTTCTATCTTAAATCTATGTCTTGATTACTGACCCCTCTACAGAGTAAAATGTGCCTCCTTATCGGTCTTATTTGTGGCTGCGATAATCTTACGCACTCTTACAGGTCACCTCCCAATCTATATAGCTCCAAGGAAAACAACTCACTCAATCCAATTTTCCTCATGGCTCAGGCCCTCCAGCCCAGGTAGCACCCTGGGAATTATCCTCTGTATAATCTCTAGTGCAATCACATTATTTCCTTCATGTGGTAATAAGAACGGAATTCAACTCCAGTTGCAGCCTATTCAGTATTTTATACAATTATAGCATTATTTCCTTGTAATCTGCGCTGCCGATAATAAAGGCACGTATCCCATATCGCAAATCTACCCGCCCTGCTAAATTCAGGGATCGGCAGATCTTCAGACCAAGATTCCTCTGTTGTTCAACAAGAACAGAAATTACTGGAGAAATGCAGCAGGTCTGGCAGCACCTGGGACAAAGCAGAGTTAATATCTGGTCCAGTGATCCTTTCTCAGAACTGACGGTAGCTAGGAACAGATAATTTATATGCTGCAGATAAAGACTGGGGGAAAAGGAGAAGTACGGGATAAGTGGAGATGGAGCCCAGAGAGAACAGCAGTTAGGGAGGCAAAGGGATGAACAAAAGGTGAGCCAAGGAGAAAGAAAAGCTGATTATTAGGGACCACCAATAGGTAAAAATGGTTGGCTATGCTGAAAGCAGCCCATGTCACGAAAGGGCCAGCACCGTGGGAGTGGATAAAGGGCATGAAAGAAGCGTTCATGGCCTAAAGTTATTGAACTCAGTATTGAGTTCTGAAGGCTGTAGGATCCCCAAGTTTCTGTTTGTAATCTGTTCATTGATATCCACTTGCAGTCTGTAGCTCTCCTAGTCACTATTTACCACTCTATCAATTTTTGTCATCCGTGAACATCTCGATCATATCCCTTACACTGAAGTGCAAATCATTAATCTACACCACAAACAGCAAGGGATCCAGCACCAAGCACCGCAGAACCCCACTGCAAATAGACTTTCAATCACAGAAACATCCCCCATCATCAACTTTCACTTCCGCTCAGCCGATTTGGATTCAATGTGCCACATTGCCACGCACAGCAATGGGCTCTTAATTTCTTGGCCAGTCTGTTATGAGGGCTCTTATCAAAAATTTTGTTACAGTCCAGGTAGACCACATAAATGCATTGCCCTCATCGACATTTCTGATTACCTCCTCAAAAATGATTCTGTTAACAAATACACATTGCTATCGCTGATTAATCAGTGTCTTTCCAAGTGCAGATACATTCAGTCCCTCAGAAGTCTTTCTAACACCACCACCACCGAGATGGTACTGACTGGCTTACAATTCTTGATCAATCACTTTTCTGAAAAAAAAAATGGGACAATGTTAGCAATCATCTAGTCCTCTGTCATCTCACCTCTGATCAGAAACGATTTTAAAATTACTGCCAGGGCACTCATATCTCCACTTTTGGTTCCCTCAACAGCCTGGGTTACATCTCATCCATTTTTTAAGCTGCTAAACCTGCTAGAACCTCAACTCTCTATGCCTATTTCTTTCAATATCGTACAGTCCTCTGCCCTGATCCCCATGTCAGTGTCATTCTTTGCCATTGTGAAAACCAACGCAAAGTATTCACAGAGGACTGTGTACATATCTTCCAGATCCACATACAGATTGCTTGGATAATCTCCAATGGGAATTACTTGTAATTCTCTTGCTATTTGCTCTCCACAAGAATCATCTCTCATGCACTCTCTCAGCTTTCCTTCTTTTAACTTCCTCCCTGGCACTTTTTATACTCTGAGGGACTCTGTATTGAACCCGGAGTTCCCTTTTTGTCTTAATCCCAACCTTTACATCTCTTGACACCCAGTGTTCCTAGTTTTCCCTTCACCCTTTGTCATTACAGGAATATATCTGCCCTGTATTCTTGCTATGTTCTCCTATGTCCCCACTGCTCTGACAGTTTAATGTGCAAATGGTTACTCTCGGCAGATACTTGGAAAAAATTGTATCACAGTTTTAACTAAATTGGCCTTTCCCCAGATTAGAACATTTATTTTCAGCCCACCTTTATGCTTTTCATGACTACCCTCAATCTAACTGAGTTACGGTCACCATCTCCAAAATGCTCCCCTGTCAATTTGTCTTTACCTGTTTGGGCATGTTTCTAAATATTATACCTAGAACCGCCACCTCCCTTCCCAGGCTTTCCATAAGTTGCTAAAAAAAATTCTCCTGGATGCAATTTAAGACAAAGCAGACCTCTTGTTTGGCAACCCACTATCAATATTCACATAGCTGAAGTGATAGATAAGCAGGATTTGGTGGGGATGGTATTGGAGGGTCAGAGTTCTGGATGAGTTAGGCTTTTTTGCAGTGCAGTTACAGAAATGATTAGATGTTGGTCCTGCATGTGATAAAACTATGGATTTTGGTTTATGGATTGGATGGGGCAAATTGAGATATAATGGGTAACATATCGGAGATGGGTGATTTTGCGACTGAAGAAGGTCAGATCTCTTAACTACGTAACAGACAAGAGACTCAGCATTCAGAGAAGGACTGGTATTACTTTAAAAAAACTTCTACCAAAACAAATGATTAAAGACCTCCAAATATGAAATTAATATTTGCATTTAGAAAAAAAACTTAAAATAATGAGATTGGTGGTCACTGACAGCCAGCAGCATTGAAAGACTTCAACAATGCTTCAAGTGAATATGCTTTTCATTTTTTCTTTTAGGAAGAATCACTCCCAAATGCACCCAGATTAAAAAAAGTGAGAATTAATGCTGCATTATAGTTAGCTTTGTGTCACATTAAGCTCATTTCACATCATATCCTTTATGGCCATCAATAAAAAGCATGAATACAGTTTTTCCATGAGCATGAAATGATGCTAAAGGAGGAAAGGTAGAATTTGAACCCACTGCCTCATCATCATCTAATGACATCACCCATGACTCAGTTGATTGTGGGTTCAAGTCCCCCCCAGAGATTCCAACACAAAATCTAGGTTGATGGTTCAGTGACATACTATGAAAGGGCGACACCACATCTTATCATCCTTGAATGAGAAACTAAATGGAGCCTCTTCTCTCACGCAGAT